AAAATCATTTTTTGAGAATTTTTTCATCTTTACCCAATTTTTCGGTATTAAACAAATTTTGATGTGTTAATTATAATTAACATATGTAGCTGCATCATATTTGTATCTGAGCATAATTGCATTCTTGATAAAGACATGTGTTGTATGATATATCCTATATTTGCTATATGATTTTTTTTTTCCAACATTGATAAATAAACTAAACTAACATATCAATGACTTTTCTATTTTGTATGCTAGAAACATTACAGTTGAATAAATCATCGTCGAAAACACTAACATAAACGAGGTATGATTAATCAATAAATCAACAAAATGAGTCAGGTTGTCAATTTAATTTGAAAAATATTAATTTTTCCGTTTTGTTAATTGTTAATGTATATTTTTGTTATGATATCTTAATTTGCTTTTATATTTTTGAGATTAATGTCATCAAACAAAAATTGTGATTATATCTTTATAATACAACGGAATGCATTTGAAGTGGATTATAAAAGTATTCATTATTTAAAAAGGTTCCATAGGGATCTATAGGAATAAAAACGACCCTGTTGAAATTTTAAAACTAATTTTGTGTGTTGGAAAAGTATTATAAAATGTTAGAATTAACCAATATTTTTTCTTATAGAAGTTTCAGTGTTTCACTATTAGACTATTGGATTATTTTTTTATAATGTTTTTAGGGAAGTAATTTTCAAGCGACATTGTTGAATGACACAATCGAAAAGTAGTTTCAGAGTTAATCTTTATTGGTTAACGCGTGGTAACCGGTTGGGTGACCCTTGAGCAAGTCAAACAGTCAAGACTATTTTTTCACATAATAATTGTTCAAGTCATTTATGAATTTATCAAAGTACATCACAATACTATATAAAACAGTAAACTGTTCAGTCTGCCAAATCAAACGTGTCGTTAATGATAATTATCCTTTTATATAGAGAGTTGTTAATGAATAATGACATTGCTTGAAAACGATGTTTAAACAATTTAGGCACTAATTCGTGATCCATAGTTGCATTAATAGTGAATGATTCTCCCCATCCTTTCGAAGAATACGATGTTAACATCAAGACAAAAATAATGGCCGCTTGGTTGTTGAACAAACATATGGGAGTTAAACGCTCCGTCTAATTTAAAATAATTGCTTGATTGACTAAATAAATAATTCACGTTCTAGCCCAAAGGTCGAATCGAGAGCAACAGCAAGCACGACGTTGCAGCGCGTGTCTTATACGTTAATTGATCGACACATTACACGATTTTCGTCTCCATGCATGCCCTCCTCCGTCTAATAAATTCCTTCGGGTTGCTTCAGCCAAAAAATTAGTCCATTGGCGGGAAGTAGAGTAATTGCAAGCACAACGTTATAGCGTTTGCCTTGTGTCTAAAGTCACACAATTTCGTTATATGCATGAATTTTAACATTAGGCTAAGTAATATTAATTGTTTACATAATTAAGAAAATATTTTGTGCAGTTAGGAGTGGGGGTGCCAATTTTCTTTAAATTGACATTTGCCGATTATTGTCAAGTCACATTTTTTGGAAGTCAAACAGGGTTGGTTTTGTCTGTGCGTGACCATGAGTCAAAATATCTATACATAAACACATGTATATGTATATGTATATGTATATGTATATGTGTGTATTTTCGTATTATACAAGGTTAATTTCACTAATAGCTATGTATATTAAAATATTTATCGTCATTCAGACAGGTATACGAGTGGAGTAGAAATAAACAAATTAAAGAAAGAAAAAAGCAACTGTTTAAATAATTGTGAGAAAATCATGTGATCGGCGCAAATGCAAATCCAATCCACACAATTTCACTTTTGTGGATTGATTTTAGGTCTTCTATCCAGTCAGCATTTTGTCAACTTTTCTTCTAAAATTTAAGCTCTCGCGTGCTCGGTTCAATTTGGTCTCGTAGGCGAGTCGAATTAGAGCTCAGCTCGAGTCGGTTCAATATATGCTCATTTAGGCCATCCGGTGCGTGGGCCTCGTCAGTCGAATCGAGTTTTTAAGAAATTAATAAAACAAAATCTAATATTTTGAAAGAAGGGAATCGATTTGGTTCATGACTTGCCTCAAAACGAATTCGAATCAATGAGTTATGCTACATGTACAACAATAATCGACAGTTTTTTTAACAATCACAAGTTGGTAAAATCTACACCATATATTTTTAAAAACTGTTTTTTTTAAAATCAACATCATGGAACTTGACAAAACATGAATTGTCAAGATAGTTGTCAATAAAAATTGTACAAATATCTTTATTATTTAGATAGATTATCAATTATAAAAACAAAAATGCTAAATGTAAACATTTTGGTTCACATTTACATCACTCTCACGTAGGGGGTGGGGCACATCATTTTTAAAAATGGCGGGCCCCACCCCCATGTGAGAGTGATGTGATAATGAATGCGAACCAAGTGTGTAAGCGTAGCATTACTCTTATAAAAAACTTTTGAATGACGTTATAGTATTTAACTGAAGAATTATGTTATTTGTAACCGTGGGACCCGACTCCCATGTGAGGGAGGGGGTGAGCCCGAGTAAACAAGAGTGTAATCCATAAGGTACATGTAGCAAGACTCTTAACTGAATAATAATAATAATAATAATAATAGAAGTAGAGATTATTAAAGTATAAGCAATGATGGGGAAACTCATTTGCGCGTGGAGTGGGATTATTGTCAAACTAGGGTGACAAAGCAAATCGGAGCCACACACAATGCACCATGCGTAGTCTTTCACTACGTACTAGTGCTATCCTCACGCGTTTCCACAGTGCGTGATAAGACACTACTGCAACCCACGTGTAATGCAAAAACAACAGTGTTTTATGCGTAAAGCATGAGTTCACTCCTGCGTCGAACCAAACTCACCAAGTGCTTGGTTAGAGCTTGTTTGATTGTGATTTTAATTCAATTAAAATTGAAAATATAGTCGTTATTGGGTCTCACTCGTCTAATAAAAGTCAACAATAACAGTTAGTTTTTCAATTTTAATCCCTCCCAAACAAGCTTTTAATAATTTTTTTTTATCAATTTTGAACTGTTCAAACTTTAACCATGCATCTAATCAATTTTTATTAAAATCTGTAAAAAATATTTATGAAAAACTTCATTACCCAAGCCTAAGTGTATGTTTGTTAATTTTATAATTGATTATAAGTTGTAAATTTTACGAAATATATGGATGATTAAAGTTATAAATTCGACTGATTATATGAATAAAAATAAAAGTTAATTATATTATAAGTCATTATAAGCTTTGCCAAACAAGTTGTAAGTAGTTCTATTTGATTACCATGAACTTTGAGTGCAGTCCGTGATTGCATGAAATGATAACTTTGATGTGCAAGTATTGTCGTGATATCCTGTTTAACGTCCTATGTTATGTTTATGAAAAGCTTGCTAAACATGTGGAAGGAAGACTATAGGAGCAATTGTGTGCAGATGTTGAGTACCATGAGCATGGGCATTTGGGACAAATAAAAATGGATTTTGCTAAANTTATATTTTGAACTATATTAATTATATTTTCTCACTCTGCGTAAAAAATAAAAATTAGCCTATAAGTGTTTAATGGATATTATTGAGAAAATAATGTATTTTAAATAGTGATATGATATGAAATATGTTGTTAAAAAGTAAGAAAAAATTATTGATGTGATAAAAAATATTATTTTATTGAAAAATGTGTGATTAAAAAAGAGTTTTAAAAGAATGTGGGTCAAACAGTGGCAAATAAGTAACCTAAAAATATCTACCGTACCCGCGGTAAGAACACGCGCAGACTTCTCGCGTGGGTTCACGGTTTTATGATCTTATCGTCAAAATTAAAAAAGAAAGCGAGAAGATTAAGAAACGACCGAATGGGGCGGCGTAATCAACGCGGTAAAGCCTGTCCACTTTCGTGATTACACATGAAAAAATTGAGGCTTCAAATTACAAAAGAAAAAAAAGTCAAAAAATATGGGCGGTTTTCCGTTGTACTTTTCGCATTTGAATTATCGTAGCGCCATCATTTTACGATGGCATAATAGAAAATTCGTCCATTTTGAGCTTGACTTCCTTGTATATTAATGTAGATTTTGAATAATTACTTATTTTAGATTATTAACCTTTTAAGTATAAGTAAAACAAATTAATATAAGAATAAATGGCCATGAGGATGATCACGATTAATTTTCTAATTAATGAAAAAAATCACTAGACAATTAAATATGAATATTCACTATCCATCTAAATTGATTCTCGAGAAGAAAAAAGGAGAATAAGAGCGAATTAAGTTACTTTGGTAAGATTATATGACTTTAATTAGAATTTAAAGAATAAAATTTCGATGAGTTTTAATAGTAAAGTAAAGGATCTTTGAACGTTTCTAAACCTCAAATAAACGAATCTGAAATTTAAGAACGGAGAGTAAATAAAACGGCTATCACTTTCGATTTTTTATTTTTTTTTTCCCTACTTTTCGAAAATTTGAACCTTCATTGGAAACCCCCAAATTTTTATTTTTGGTTGAATTGTGGTCAAATGTCAACGAAAAATCTTGGTTTCCCTGTGGATTCGGTCAATTTCACGCCAAACCTATTCATTGTCCATTTCATGCATGCTAAGAATAGTCTCACACAGCCTGCCAGAACGAGTAAATTTTCCATACGTAACACCCCACGGTAACACAAAAAATAAATTCTACTTTGAAAAGAAAAGCAAAAACCATTAACTCACCATCAGTTTCGCCACGAACAAGTCCTCATTTCAGTGCCCTCTCTCTTTTTATCCTCATTTTTCTCCATCCTCTTTTTAATCTTATCACTCTCAAACAGGTACCAAACATAAATTCTTACATAAAATAAAAAGGGTTTAAATGTTTTGGGTTGGTTTTTTAAATTGATTGTTTTGTGTAATTTACAGGAGTTTTTTATGTTATGGAGTGCATTGAAGCAAGAGCGTTGAAATCGAGCTTTCTTTCTCAAACTTCCATGAAAGCGAATTCACAAGTGCTGTTTAACGATGATGGGTGGTGTTGGAGTGGAATTAACGGCGGTTCTTGTGATGATTTTCCCGTTGAAGACCTTCTTAATCTTGATTTTTCTGATAAGGATTTTCAAGAGGGGTTGTTTTTAAATGAAGATGGAGAGGAGAAGGGTGTACAGCACAGAAATTCGAATTCTTCATCCACTTTTTCCGGCGCCAACGAGTTTGATAACGTCCCCTCAGGCGAACTCTCCGTTCCGGTAAAGGTTTTTTTGAAAATTTTCAATGGTGTCTTCATTTTTTGGATAAAAGAAAAAGAACCCATTTCTTGAATTTGTTTACAGGTTGATGATTTGGAGAATCTCGAGTGGCTTTCTCAATTTGTGGATGATTCTACGTCAGGGATATCATTGTTATGTCCGGACGGAAGTTTCATGGAGAAGTTCGGAGAATTTTCGGAGAACCAAATTGTACCGGTGAGTAGACCGGAGGTTCATAAAATCCGGGTTCCGTGTTTCCCGTTGCCGGTTCCTGGAAAAGCAAGGAGCAAACGGCAACGGCCGAATGTTAGGACTTGGTCCTTGTCGTCACCGTCGTTGAGCGCCGCCTCGTCTTCTTCTACGACGTCGTCTTCAATTGGCTCCTCCACGTTGTCTCCTTTTGTGTTCAAAAACGCGGTTCATGACGTGGACTGGTTTTCCTACGTGGAACAACCGCCAGCGAAGAAGCAAAAGAGAAAACCAAAGGCTGAAAGCGGTTCAGTAACGGGTAGTTCCCAGACTCTTCGTCGGTGTACCCACTGTCTGGTTCAGAAGACTCCACAGTGGCGAACCGGACCGTTGGGTCCCAAGACCTTGTGCAACGCTTGTGGTGTGAGGTACAAGTCCGGTCGGCTTTTCCCTGAGTATAGACCGGCTTGTAGTCCCACTTTCTCTCAAGATGTCCACTCCAATAGTCACCGGAAAGTTTTGGAAATGCGGCGGAAGAAGGAGATTGTTGGGGTGGCCGACCCCATCAATCCGTGTTTCTAAGGTTAGGTTAGGATAGGATTTATTATGAACCGGTTATCAAAAACCGGTCCGGTAGGTCTAGCTAGGCTGCGGTTCAAATGTACAATTTTGGTGGTGGATAGTAGGCTCGTAGGTGGTAGGCATAGATCTTCAACGGAAATTATTGAGGTTATGAATTAGGTTTTAATTTTAATTAAATTTAATTTTGGTTGTAATTTTTTATTTGCAGTTTTAAATTTAATGAAGAGAGGCCTATAATTAGTTTAATTAATTAAATTTTGTATTATGGGTTTTGTTAATTACTATTAATTATGTTAACTTTATGAAGAATTCGAAACGGTCGAGCGGTTTTTGGTGGATAATTGGCATTGAAAAAGTGAAAAGTAGCACGAAGTTTTGGTGCACTCAAATTGTTTTGGGCCCATTTGGTTTCATGTCATTAGGTGGGTTGGAGCCCACAGTAGTTGTGTGGTCTTGCCCACTTTTGGTGAGATCTTAGAAATATCTCCTTGTAGTGGATGTAAAAAACAAATATTCAACTATTTCACGAACTTCCCAAATTTGAATTTTAAATAAATGCTCATTATTTTAATGGGAGACACTACATAAACGATTGAGTAATAATACTATAAAATATCAATGGTGTACTAGTAGTGGAGTCTATGTCCTAAAGATGACAAAAAAATTCGTTCAACCATATACTTGCAATGCCCCATCTCGAATGGGAAGGGAATTACACACATATCTAGATAAACGGGACATGGCCCCACCCCGTAACGCAACTTGCTATCCTCTCGTTTAAAGTTAATTTCAAATTTAAATTTTTTATCAAATAAAATAAAAGATTTATCATCACTTTTAAAGAGAATATAAGTTGTTTTTAACAAATTAGAAAAAAAGTAATAATATTTATTAACTAAATATATAAAAATATAAAATAAATAAAAATAAAAAATAAACGGAGTGATAAATGGGCCCACTTTAACCAATCTTGGGATAAGAGCTGTGCTTTGATCGAGACTATTGCTTAGTATCAATAGTGATATATAGTATTATTTTAAATTATTTGCAACTTAATATAGCATGATTCTAAGCCTCCATTTTGCAAACTTTATAAATCAACTTATGATTGATCAAATTTCATTTTCAACAATGCATTTCAATAGATCCACAAATGTTGTTAACTTATTTAGTACTCATTTCTATCTATTTATATATTCTTTTCAAACGGGGGCTAATAAATTATTTGCAACATACTTCACGGATTAGATACTTAGGGCCTGTTTTATTTGTCCAACTTTCCATGGAATTGGAAATGGAATTCCATCTTTGTCCAAAAAATTGAGTGTTTGATTGGTTGGATTTTCTAGGCAATGGATTTTCTTGCTTTTGTCCACATGCACCCCAATTCAATAATTTTGTGGAATTTGGGTTCCCACCAATTTGGTGGGAATTCATTTTCCATTTTTTTTGGCAATGACACCAAATTTTATAACCAATTGTAATTTTTTTTTCACTTTAATGGTCAATTTTAATGTAAAATAAAGTCAAACGAACACTAAATTTTGATTAAAAAATGATTTTCTAGGTTTTTTTTATTTTTTTTAATTTTTTGGCGATGGAAACAAATTTTATAGCCAATTGTGAAAAAAATTATCACTTTAATGTACAATTTCCATATAAAACAAAACCAAACGAACACGAAAAAATCCAAAATTTTAAAAATTTTCGGGTGGAAAATTATACCAATCAAACACGCTTAATTAACAATTCACTCGAAAACGAGTTCTAAACAATTATTTTCTTTGAAATTCGTTTTCTTTCTATCAATTTTCTACTCTTGCAATCAAACGGACCCTTAGTTTTTTTTTTTTAGGACAAGTTATCTTTGAAGTTGCAATTCTTTTAAAAACTCGGGTTTATATTGAATTGAACATAACTACACGTATTACACATGTTATAGAATTTATATACTTATCTCGTTAATACTATCCAATCGTGTGTAGCAATTGTGCTATAAAGAGACTATAATTAAAATTGAACTTTTGTATTTGGACTATTTTCTTGATTTTTTTGCAATCAATTGAATCTGGAAATTCAATCCACCCATTTGTGTGAGTGGGTTACTAGTCAGAGTGCCTTATTCTTCATTTCAAAAGACTTCAAAATATATTTATATTTAAAAAAAATAAAAAATGGAAGAAGAGACACCATAGGTGTTGGCATTGATATTGAAGATTCAATTGGAGTGATGATGACATTAATTGATGGGCCTTCTCGTGAATAATTGGTGTAGCCTAAAGTTACACTCGGGCACAAGCATGCCATGTGAGAGTTGGATGTGCATCATTATTTCTTGTTCCGTATTTTGATGTTTGATTATTCTTAACATTTTTACTATTGTTTTTAATTTTTATAGATAAAAAAAAACTATTAGTCATTCAATTTACAATAAAAATTCGTGTAGGTCGCCGAGTGCGATTTAGTAAGTTTGTTATTAACAGAAAACGTTGCTACAAGTAGAGTGCCTTCTAATGTTTTTAACGTATATCTAAAAATGATTTTTTGTTAAAAAACGTAAGTACTTTAACCGAACTCATATTTTTCTATCGATGAATCTTAACTCTGCTCCAATGCTACTTTCTTAAAAGTTCTCCACTCTGATTAAATTCATGCCTAGTGTATTTTCAGTTATCAAGAACTCAATTATTTTCAGTTGAATTCAAGAAATAATTAAGTTCGTGATTTAACTTGGATTGAATAGTTTTGAATAAAGTACAAAATATAAAGGGTTTGTTCTCTTTACCATTTTGAAGCCGTTTTCTGTTTTTGATTTTCCAAAAAAGTATAAACGCATTCTCTTTCCTATTTTCGAAAAAATATTTTTTTAAAAAAATTAAAAATTTACAAAGAAAACCCAAAACGAGTGTTTTTAGTTATAATCAAGTCAAAATTTTCAAAACGCGTTTTGAGAGTTTTCAAAAAAAATTTCAAAATGCCAAAAAGAACGCATTTTCAACAATCTCAAAATGAACGCTCAAAATACAAAATCCAAAATGAATTCAAAACTCAAAATATAAAACTGAAACACAAAAAGAACATTTCCTAAATAATTCCGTGTCTTCTCCTTTTTCACTCAAAACTTATACATTCTTATTCGATGAAAATACAAAACATGGGATCTAATGACAACCTTGAATAATTGGTTAGTATTCTAGTTTCCATCCTCACTTTGAATTTACTCTCTGGTTCTAATTGGTTGTATTTGTTGGGGGGTAGGATAGCATGCTTTTTCTATTTATTCTACTATTTGGAACCATTCATTTAGATATATACAGCCAGGAGAATAAAATCAAATGGGCGAATACAATATTTATAGGATTTTTTTTTCCGTTCTCTTTCTTTTATTTAATTATTTTAATTGAAAAAAATATAAACCTATCATTTTATCCTTTTTAAAATTGATCAAAATTAAGATCGGGCGTTTGATTTTTTATCAAATAATAAATTTTTGGAAGAAAATCGTCCTAAGCCCTTCCATCGTACAAGTTTAAAAGTTTTGAGATGAACACTAGTACTAATCAAATTTAGATAAAGCTCGCAAAAATTTGAAAGATTTGAAACCGTGATGGTAAATAGTGAAAGACTTGAAATCGTGACGGTAAATATCCGTACAATTAATGCAGTTAAATTAAGCTGGCCCAGATGAACAAAGCGAGCTTGGATCAAATATTTAGCCCAAGCTCTCAGCTTGTATCATTGTAAACTTGGTAGGTTGGCCGGCTCAAAGAAGACTTGTTCATTAACATTAGGCCCGTACTGTTTCTAATATTATTTTCTTTCTTTTTTCGTTATTCAGAGTCGAGTGATTACCCTGATTATATGGGTGCATTGTGGAAATCAATTTTGTTCTTCGAAGGACAGCGGTCAGGATACTTGCCGACAGACCAGAGAATTGCTTGGTTAGTACAATGTTGGTGAGGGGTGGACAGCGGTGAATTCAGACCTAACTAGTGGATATTATGATGTTGCACATAACATTAGCTCTTATTTGGTCCTCATTAAATTAAAATTCATGTTTCCCTCTTCTTATTAACCATACATTTTTCAATAAAATAATATTAAACGTAAATCTAAAAAAAAAAATTCTTCCTTTTGAACCATATATTCTCTTAAAAATTACTTTTCCCCTCAATATAGTTTGAAAAAATGGAGCCCAAACAAGGGCTAAATTCAATTTCCTAATGGCATTCACTACTACAATGCTGGCATGGAGTGTGGTCGAGTTTAGAGATGCATGTCGCCGAAGGAGCTGTGGAATGTTTTGGTTGCGATCAAATGGGGCACAGATTATCTGCTCAAAATAGTTTCGCAACCCAATTGTATTTTTGTTCCAAGTATATATTAATCAAAGGGTAATCAATATATAACGTCCTTATCTTTCACTATTATTGTATAAAACGTCCTTACCTTTTATTCTATGGTATTTGCACAATTATTTTCACATTTCATTGCGTAAAAGGTCATTTTCATTCATTTTCTCAATTAAAAGATATTTAGCTTGTAACGAGGTGGATAACCATGTAACTTATAGCATTTATCATTTGAATGACCATGACAGTTGCAATAAGTGTATAATGGTCTTTCTTTCTTTTTATAATTTGCAACATATATGATTTTAGAGACAATATTATATCCATCACTTCCTTTGCCATTTTCAGATCTGAAAGCAAAAGCCATAGCTCCATTGTGATCGGATCCTGATGCAACTTGTGTACATATCCTCTTTTGATGTTCTTCCTGAGAAATCAGGGCAAAAACTTTGTTGATGGCTGACAGAGGATTCATGAGAAGAAGCTGTCCTCTCACTTGAGAGAAAGAGACATTTAGCCCCATGAGGAAAGACATTATATATTCCATCTGATGATGAGCATTTAATTCCTTCACACCATTACATGTGCATTTACCACAGTTGCAATTCAGACGATAATTGCTTAGCTCTTCCTAAATTATTTTGAGCT